TCTGGTTTTCTTTCTTGTGCACTCTGTCATCTCAGCCTAATGACTTTCAAAGTTTTCTCTGAAGGCCAGAAGCTTGGTTAAATAGATAAATGGATTTTTATTACTATAGTTCTATCCTGTAGAATCTGTCACTAGATAATTTTATTAAGGAGTGGAGATGAACATTTTAGGAAAAATCATCACAAAAAGATGAGTGTTAATGTGATGTATTTTCAGGACACAGTACATCTAATAAAAAATTATTGCATGCATGAATGTGAATTAGAAAATTTTTTTTAAAGAATAACATCCATTGCTGGTAGAGCCATAAGCAATACAGCAAACACATAAATTGATGGAACCCCCTTAGAGGAAATTTGATGATACCTTTCCATAATTCATAAGTCCAATTCTAGAAACTTATAGGAAAATAAACACAACACAGGTAAAAGCAACCTGCAAATTTACTTTTTATAACATTTATAACATTAAACATTTGAAGAAAAATGTAGTGGTTCACTATGGATGTTACAACAAATTATAGATTCAGCAATTTAAAATAATTATATATATAGCTGTATGTCAAAAGTCTGACATAGTTTTCCATGACCTGAGCCAAGCTCTCAGCCTGAATTCATGCTTTCTGGAGGTAATAATGACTGCTCCCTCACCTTTCTGACTTCCAGAGGACACCGGAATTGCTTGCATATTCCTCAGTAGCCTACAGACCTCTCCCTCTACTTGTCTACAAAGTTTCTCCACTTTAAGAATCCTCAGTTGGTTCTGGGTCCACCTGGATAATTCAGAACATCCAATTATGTTATTAAATCACTTGAGCAAAGTTAGTTGTAGCATAGATAGTGAGGGACATATTCACTGGAAAGTCACAAGTTCCAAAAATTATGGAGTGGACATATTTAGGAAAAAAATATTTTGTCTACCACAGAAACTGTAGTTGAGAAAAAAATAAGAAATTGTGAGATTTGGCATAGTATAAAATGTTAAAGATATGTGATAGGCAGAATAATGATAACTCTCAACACTAATGTAGCAACTCTGTGTTGGGCACCATTTTGAAAGCTTTATATATGTTGACACTTATTTATACCAGTTCTATGCATTATTATTCTTTGTATTGTATAGTTAAGTAAACTAATGCACATTTGCCTAAATTTTGTTGGTAAATATCAGAGCTTGGATTAGGAATCTAATCTGTATAGAAGCAGAATTCATAAGCTTAATAATGATGACCAGGATACACATTCTTGATCCATTATTAAATTAAAAACCTCAAGTTAAAATATCTTCTGTATGATATAATCCTATTTTTGTAAGAGAATGGTTTGAAAATTATCCATGTGCAGAATTATTACTTTCATTTTATTTACTGTCAACATTTTAATAATGCTATTATTTGTAATAGCTATTATTATCCAAAGAAGAAAAACATCCAAGTTTGTTTAAAATATCCCATGAATTAAAAATGTTGTTTTGTGATTGTAAGGCTAATTGTTGCTAATCTGTTTTTAAAATATAACAGAGAATGAGTAAACTCAGAGCGAAACTGCTCAGTGGAGATGCACAGTCAGCAGTGAGTTTCTGCTGTAACTCAGTGTGGAAGGTCTGATTGACTTAGAAGCTGTGTGCTTACTGCAGACCATGAGTTGTCCTGAAAGATAAATGAAGTAGGTGTGAATCGACCTTGAAAAATACTTTAAAGCAGGACACCAAGGTGAGCCCTGATGGAGGTGCGTAATATGTAGCACATTTCCCCCACAGAAACAAGGTAATTATCAATAGTTATGTCACCTGACTGGCCAAGGAAGGCCCTTAGTACCTCATAGCTAAATAGTTTATGACCTTCTTTCTAAATGAAAATGCAATCGACAATTCAATTTGAGACATCTCTCTCCTCTATGCACTTCTATGGAAGAGTCATGATTCTCTCCACTGTGATTAATGTTTCTTCCACTGAGTCACTTAGTTCCAGGGACAAGAGGAAATGGAACAAGAAGGGCACAGCCACTTAAGGAATGGAATTGCATCTCTAACTAGGGCACCTTTCTGTAAATTGGGTACTATCTGTGCTGTGCATAAAGGATGTGATGGGAATTTAGTCTTCATGGAATTAAATAATTGAATATCCTTTAAATATTTTTGTCATCACTTCTGGGTAGAATTCCAAAAGAATGACTGAGGAAATTCATTAAAATATCAACAAGTACATGAAGCACAGTGATTTGCAAAGCCAATTTTCATTCTCCAAAGGTAAGCACTCATCTTGACAGTTCTGTCATTGAAAACATGTGCATCTTTGACTTCACTAATATTTTTGTGCCTTTCACATGAGCCCTGTGCATTGTACCTGCTGGTAGGTTTCCTGTAATGAATGAGACGCCATGCAGATTTAGCAGTTAAGGTACTAGTTGCACACAGTACATGGCCATCATCGATCACATCTGTTGTTCACTCTTGCGGCATTACACCAACAAAAGATGAGGAATTAGAACCCCTGAAAATTGCCTGAGATTGATTTCCGCAGAGGTAGGTCCCTAACCCAAGGATTTCAGAGCAGTGGTTTATACGGAAGCTGTCCCAGGGAGCCCTGGGATGTGAGGCAGGGACAGAAGGAAGCCAACTCACCTCATAGTGAGCTGGTTTGCACTGTAGAGAACCAGGACTCTATACTGGCTTGGATGCTAATCATGTGGATTGGATGAGACCATGTCCTCAGGTTCCTTATATGTGGGTTGAAAAATTTGAGGTTATCATTCCCCAACTCTCATTCAATACGGGGTCTCCAGGAAGTAACTTTGCTTTCCAGCTAAGCACCTCCTGTGCTTAGGAAACAGTCCTAAGAGCGTACAAACAGACAGATGCTATGTAGTGAAAGGACACAATCCAGTGACTGGATGAGGCAGAACAGTCAGCTACAGATGGTTCATGCTCTCCTTTTGCCTGCACGACATTACTCGGGCTGATACTGGCTGCAGGGAAACTATAGCAGGTTATGGATGAATTCGCACAGATGCCTTGTTGCTGCGGAAAAGTTAAAGAGATTGTAGGACACTTTGGACCACGCAGCAGCATTTTCCTTAATATACAGCATTAGCTTAGTCTTCCTTAGTTCAGCTATGCAAAATACCTGCAGCCCAGGAACTACTGGGCAGTTAGAGAGTGGGTAATAGCACAGGAACACAAACTAAAAGAAACATTGCTCTAGATACCCTGGTTGTCTGGAGCCCCTATCAACACACTGGACTCTTGGAGGAATTTCATTAGACAGCACTTTTCAGAAAATCCATTTATGAACGGGGAAATTTAAAAAGACACCCTTATAGCAGAAATAAAATATGAACGTTCATAAATTTCAGAGATTGAATCTCTTCGCCTTTCCAGGATTGCAAATCACTTTTGGTTATGCACGTTGACTTCTGGAGAATCACTGTGTAGTTATTCTTAAGTGCCATGATATTTATTCAAATCAAGCCATCATAGGGGGGTCCAGTGTGGTTAAAGTTATCCTACACCACAAGAACCATTTTCTAAGTAGGTCCAAGTCCCCCTTGCCACAGGAAGTTCGTTGCTTTATACTTTTATCAGTCGTAATCTCGCAAGAGCGGTCAGGGGAGATGCTTGCTATTTTAGCTCCCTAAACCGCTCTCATTACTACGGAAATTCTTTGCAATGACTGATTCGCCAATGGATCTTCACACCATACCTTCAATTCCTAGCAAAATTAGAAATGCTTTCACTAGCTACTAGGGCTGGCTGTGACACAAACTTCCTTGTATCCTGAATATCCAGGCCCCAGGGACCTTCACCCTGGCCAGAATGTTTGACCCTTCTGCTTTCCACCCGCAGATGGCAGCAGCGGGCTCCGGAGCGCGCGTCTGCAGGTCAATGCAGCCTCAGCACTGCTAGCCCACTGGCTGCAGGCGGTGTAGGAATGTCACCACCAGGTACAGCACAGTCATCGGACGGTCCCTGGAGCTCGGATGGCTGCGAGCTAAAATTGTGTCTGATCCTCCTATTGTTTGAGTGAAAGCAGTCTGAAGCAGCCACTGCAAACTCACTGCGTTTGTATACCTTGCGGTTTCCTAAATTTGCCAACTTCAAGCAGTAACTGGATCCCTTTCCTTGAGCCGGGTCTGCTCTGAAACTCTCCACTCTCTGACCCCCTAGTTCCTTCCTTGAAACCCAAGTGCCGGGCACCCGGCAGTGGCTTGGAAGCCGTCCTGTCCTCTTGCGTCCTCCTTGCGCCCTTCGGGCTCTGCTGAACTCCGGCACTCCCGCAGAGCGGGATGCCTGGATTGCACCCCAATTTCATCACATTATCTCCTTTCCTCGCCTTCCTCCTCCAAGCAAACACACACACACACACACAGACACACACACACACACACACACACACACACACACACACACGCACTCACGCAGCTCGCCGGCCCGGAGTGCCTAGGACTCGGCTGCGGGAGCAGTCACCGCCACGCTGCCCGAAGTCCTCGCCACCTCCACCGCAGCTCCCGCGCACAGCGACACCACGCCCGCAGCGGCCGGGGCTGCACCCCACAAGCACCTCGCACAAGTTGACGCCCGGGAGGGGGCGGCGGGCTTCGGAGAAGCCGCACATCTGGGCGAGGGGTGGAGGAGCCGCACAGCTGGGCTGAGTGGCGGGGAGGGCGGCTCGGGGACCGGCAGGAGGCCCGCAGCAGCCCCGCCACCCG